TAATAAATATTTACTTAAATATTTGTGTATATATAACAATAAAATATATTGCCAGACTTAGTCCATTTCGTAGTGTGTGTGTGTGTATATATATATATATATACACACACTGTCGCTGCCAGGTGTTGGACTCAATACCTAGCACCTAAATATTTATCCCCTGACATTGTGCACGAACTCAAGTATAGTATATATTCAAACTATAATTTTATTTTTATACATATATATATATATATATATATATATATATATATATATATATATATAAGGAATACTGAAACCAGGAGGCGACAGGCTGTTTCATGCTGGACGTCACGCCTCGAATGCTTCGATTTTTCCTCGGCTATTTATATATGTGGGTTGGTAGTGCATTGTGGGTAATCTATTCTGGCGGTTATTTGCGGGAGTGGCTTATTTATTTATTTATTTGTTTAGGTTAATTTATTTTACTGGTTTTTCATTTTGTATTGTTTATTCTTTTCGTTTTTTGGTGTTTTATTAACGTAGAAAATATTTGGGGAGATTTGCTTAGGTCGCTTATTTAATAGTTTGTTTTGGTCTGGGAAGATAATTAAAGCTATTTATTCGTCCAATGTTTAGATTACTTGTCGTAATCTATTCTGTTATATTGGCAGGTGGACAGTTTTAACCCAAATAAATAAACAAACAAGCCACTCCAGCAGATAACCGCTAGAATAGATTACACATAATGCACTACTGATCCGCATATATAAATAGCCGAGGAAAAATCCAGCATTCGCGGCCTGACGATTGCGTTCAGCATGAAACAGCCTGTCGCCTCTGACTGTTGACTTCAATATTCAATTTTATATTTATATTTACTTACGCTCTAACACTGATATTGAGCACTTTATCCCATAAATATAGCACACCTTAAAACTATATATATATATATATATATATATATGTGTGTATATATATATATATATATATATATATATATATATATATATATATATATATATATATATATATAAGCAATTATATGGATATAGATCCGACAGTATGAAGAAAAAAAATACAGAAAAAAAAAACAAAAAAATCAAAAAAAAAAGAAAGATTTTGTTTGTTTTTTTTCTGTATTTTTCTTTCATATATATATATATATATATATATATATATATATATATATATATAGTGTGTGTGTGATTAAAGCAAAATGAAAACTTATCTTAGCCCCTCGTCTTCAGTGGGACGTAATCAAGGCAAATGCAAAAGATTCTGTTTTGTAATAAGTATTATATACAAGAGCATAAATGTTATTCCAGAACGTCATTTACTCACTTTCGTTTATTAAACACAGAATTGTGTCACTTCGCGTCCTCCATAGATTGCCTAGACTTCGCTTAAAACGGATGAATATTTATGAGCGTTCTTAAATTTCAAAATTTTGAAGTGCTAATAAAATGTATGTGTTTCTGACATAAAAAATACCTGTTAAAAAAATGAAATTTTGCATTGGTTTTGATCCCCCAGTGGACAAAAACGCATCCAATATGCACTTTGGCTTTATTTTACCCTTTTGTATTGTATTTTTTCGAACTATTAGTGGGTTTTAGCTATCTGTATCCTGTACATCAACAGATGCCAATTATTCTGAGGCATCCTACTCATAAACCTCCTCCAGATAAAAGTGAGTGGTTGCATCTAATAAATGAAGCTCGACAGCATCCAACACTGTTTATTTTTGCAGATTTTTGAACAAGTTTTGCCTGTACAAGGCCCGGGAGCCACCTGAATTAGGATTGTTGCAAAAGAGGCACAGCCTTTTGGTAAAAGTGTGTGTTTTTTCAAAAATGTATTGTAATATATAAAATGTATGTAATGTATTTTTTTTTTCTTCAAAAATTCATTGGTAATAATTTTTTACAAAAATGTATTGTTGGTATTAAAAATCTATTTTTACGCCTTCATAGTGTTTTGACCACAGTTTGAGGTGGGTAACTATTTGCCCATAACAGGGACCCTAACAGGTGCTACCACCCCGTGTCAGGGTGGACATGGGAATATCAGCAATTAAGAGGTGATTCCACGCTCCTCAACAACTTCTGATCAGAGGCTTTGCTGTTGGACTTAGTTTATCGTCTTACCCAGGATGAACATTCGTCATGTCTGCGGGCAATTCAGAGTACAATCAGCGATGATAGAATGTAACTAGTTTGGTTTCTACATTATTTACACTATTCGGACTATTGTCCTCATCTTTATCGTCGCCATATTTGTTACAATGTTTTGGCCAATTGTACGCTCCGGCCTTCTTCAGGTGGTTGGAATGTCGAACTGAACCCTTTATTTGTTCACTGGGGGTAGACTGTTCTAGTTCTGATCTTTGGTCCGTTATTCTAAAGGATGAGTCAGAGGCCGAATTTGTCTCTGACTTACTGAGAGAGGCCTCCATGGTCACCTCTTGGTGAATAAACTGGCCATGTCCAAGCTAAGAACTAGAACAAATCAACCCCAGTGAGCGAAATAAAGAGTTCAGTTCGACATTTCAAACACACCGAAGAAGGCCGGAGCGTACAACGGTTGAGATTTGTAATAAATATGGCAACAAAGCTGAGGACAATGGTCCCAATAATATAAATAATGTATATATCTCATCTCAGAAATATAGTCAGATACTGAAAACTGAAACGATGTAATAAATATGACAAAAGATGGAGGACAATAGTCCGAATAATGTAAATAAATGCATAATATCTCATCTCAGAAATATAGACAGATAGAAGTTTGGTTTCTGTTCAATACTCATAACTGACAGGGTGGCCTCTTACCTCGCTGCAGGGGATACACACGGGTTATTCTAAATTCCGTGAAACTTATGTTATTTGAAGCAGGTTTAATGATTCAACATCCAACTTAACTCCCCAATCCTAACTAAATGATTAAACAGACTTTTTAAGTCGACAGCGGAATTTTGTTTTGCAATTCGTGACCGCCATCTTGGAATGTTGTTATCTTTAATATAATGAAGCAGTATGGCTTTACAAAGAGAATATTCTTTTTCACAAGCGATAACCACAAGTCTGAAAATATCAGCTGACATCGAGGCTATGCGAGATTTTGAAAGTTCATTGAGAAACATTTAATAGGTCAGGAATGTTTCAACCCTTCTAATTGAGGACATTACCAAACAACCATTTACGCTAACTTTTTTTTCTTCCTTTTTTTTTATTTGAAGAATCTTCGAGAAGATGACAGTACCAATTTTTTCTCTTTCTGCCTAAGTAGCTCTAGTAGCTGAAACGGCTATGTAAAAATAAGAAAAGAGAAAAGAAAACGAAAAAAGAAAGAAAGAGAAGAAAAGAGAAAGAAAATGAAAAGAAAGAAAGAAAAAGGAGAAAAGAAAGAAAGTAAAAGAAAAGGAAAAAGGAAAATACAAAAAGAAAAAGGAAAAGGAAAGAAAAGAGGAAAAAGAGAAAGAAAAGAGAAAAGAAAGAAAAGAGAAAGGGAAAGAAAAGAAAAGAAAAGAAAGTGAAAGAAAGAGAAAGAAAAGAGAAAGAAAAGAAAAAGAAAAAGAAAAGGAAAGAAAAGTGAAAGAAAAATAAAGAAAGAGAAGAAAAAAGAAAAAAGAAAGGAAAGAAGAAAAAGAAAAAGAAAAAAAAGAAATGGAAGAGAAAGAACGATGGAAGAAAAGAAAAAACGAAAGAAAGGAAGAGGAAGAAAAAAGAAATGGAAGAAAGAAAGAACGGATGGAAGAAAGAAAGAACGGATGGAAGAAAGAAAGAACGGATGGAAGAAAGAAAGAACGGATGGAAGAAAGAAAGAACGGATGGAAGAAAGAAAGAACGGATGGAAGAAAGAAAGAACGGATGGAAGAAAGAAAGAACGATGAAAAAAGAAAGAACTCCTATCATGTCAGGAATGTGGTGGATTCTTCCATGATCAAGAGTGAGTTCATAGGTGATGGAGAAGTCTCTACAATATTTGCTTACTTCATCACTTTTGTTCAAATGGACTAACCACTCTTTGTGGTGAATAATGAAGTTACAGATATGAAAGCTAAGGTGATGGAAATTCAGTGAGGATATTTAGTCAAGAATTAGCATCCCTTCATCGTGAGGACAAAAAAAGAGTGAAAATGTATGTGTGCTACTATGGTTAAGTGCTATGCGGAAGGACATATATAGGAGATCAGGGTCCTCATTTTTGTGTCTCTGCCACTGGGGAACCTTTCATTAATGTAGACACCAAGTCTGTGGCCATGGCAGTTTAGGTGGTTGTCATTTGTTATTAGGGGTGAGTAGCCCAGGATTGCAAGCTCCCTTTATTGGGATTGAATTACTGATACCTGTTTCAGACAGAAATAGTAGGTTGGGTATGGCCTCAAGAAGATGGGTTTACCTCTGCAAAGTTGGAACATAGACCCCCTTATATTGGTGTACTGTAGGTGATGGTATTTTTTTTTTTTGGTGGGGTTAGCATATAAAATTAACAAGACTAATGTACTTTTACTGTTCAGTAGTTTTTAGTAAAATTCATAATAGGAGTAAAATACATTTCATAACCTTATAAAATTTAAAATAAAAATCAAATTTTCATAAGTATATCATGATTAAATGCTATGATTTAAAAATTTGTCACAAAAACACTGACATTTACATTGCATTTATTTAGAGTTAGAGTAAATTTTGGTTAGAAAATACATTTTTAAAGTTTAAAAAAACTAATTTGAAAACAATGATGCCCTTTGCTGGAAAAATTGACAAAAAACAAATCAATGGTTGGTTTTCTTCCATAATTAAAAATATCTAATGGAAGCATCCATTCTTCCAAATTTCAATAAATAATCATCTTTTAAATATACATAACAACAATTCACTACACTACATTGGAATTTTTTTTTAAAATTTTTTTTTTTTTTTTTTTTAATGACCTTCATCTTTTGTTGGAAATTATAATATGGTAAATACTAAAATTGGTGTCACACTAATGGGGAAGAAACTGCTATTTATTGAAAAAAATGGAAAAAATCAAACTAAGCACATAAAAAAGGAATCCATAGTGTGATATCAGTTTAATTCTAAATTCCATTCTAAAAAAAATTGGAAACTTTTTTTCTTGCAAGGCATGTTTACGTTATTAAAAACTTCTTGGATGTTTCAAATCAAAGCTAAGTTATAGTCTTGGAACAATGATAGACCTTCTATGGCATTCAATTATTGTCAATTTATTGTTTGTTCTGAAAGTCTGTTGTTTGATAATTTAATGTCCATCATTGAATTTCCAGATGGATTTTATTAAGAAAATATGAATTTTTAAAATAATTTAATTTATTTTAATGATGTTAAGAATTTTAATATGTTGAAGGTTTTGTCATTTTTTCTAATCTGTGGATTAGGGACTGCATTGTTTTTATAATCTGAAAAACTTTCCATTTATTAATTATTATACTAGCAAAATGTTAAAAGCCTTGAATATTAAATTAAAAATGAACTCTTTAATCAGCTGTATTTTCAAAATAAACAAATTGTCCCTAAAAACTTATGAAGTCATTTATATTTTGATCAACACTCCAACAGAGATATACTCTTATCAGTTATAAACATAAAAATATATAATAAACATTGCTTATTGAATGTAATGTAAGTCAAGAAATACCTGCAGTGGACTACAAAAGGTGGTTTTGAAGATGGTGAAAATTGTACTTTATTTCGGAATTCAATGAAAGATGCTGGTTCCTCTAGGATACCATGATCCGGCCATATGGTGCATTGAAAATGATGTACAAATCTTTTTTCTCTCACAGAATACTAAAATAAAGAATAATTTAATCTTAAAATATAGGAGGGAATTTACATTATTTATATGTCACAATCTGACTTATAAATTAACATTCACTACCAAAAATTATCGAAGACTGACTACAATCAAAGTCAAATAAATTTTCTATTATTTATTTATACCTTTGATTCTTTTCATTTATTTCCAAAGTTTCTGATAAATATTTGTAAGAACCTCTGCTACCATTACCAAAAGTTCACTCAAAGTGTCTCTCTCAAAGATTGTCATACAATAAGATTTATAGCTTAACAACCCAATCTCTGCAGAATGTCTTTTATCAACAATATCTTTACTTTTTATTATTGTCTGATATATTTAAACTGCATTGTGTCCTTTATACACCCACTCTTTTTATGCACTTCATGAAATCTTTAGAATTATAGTTTATTAAGATGCTGTAATAGCCTTTTTAAATATGATGGCATAATATGAAAATGTCTAAGGCATGTGAGTTTATATTTCTTATAAATAATAATATGATCAAATACAGCAGCTGTCATTTGACCTAAAAGTGATATCAAAAGCTTGCGACAGACCTTTTTCATTTAGCAGTTGTACATAACAATTAGTTGAATGAAACTTTGATTTTATTTCTAGCCTCTATCAGATTCATACATATCTAAATTATGACATTTCTCTGAGGAAAAATAAATGTGATCCACATTTTTCATGTAGAGATCTTATTTGAATCTATTGTAACAGAGCACTAAGATCCAACACCAGGAAAAAATATGAAGGAAAGCAGAATGGTGATTTGGTGAGACTTTTTCCTAATTGGATGATAATTGTTGAAATATCAGGAATTTTTAAGATAAAAAAAAAAAAATCCCAAGACAAATGCTTTTCTTGAAACATCCTGTCTATAAAAAGTATATATTTTGTATGATTATTTTTTTTTAAGGAGACTAGACTGATCATTCTAATGTATTTAAATTTATACTAGTAGTATTTTTATAAGAGTGCATTTTTAACAATAATTTTATTTTCCACTGTATGGACAAAAAAAATCTTAAAACAAAATGATTTAAATTTTTTTCAGAAAGAGAATTTTTTTATTTGGATATGGGAATAGATGTATGAATTTTGTTGAAAAAAAATTAAACAATGCAGTTAATCAAACAGGTGCAGGATCAGAGACCAAAGGTTATGCAAACTTGTTGAGCCAATGTCTACTTGACGGAGAAAATTATCCATAACAAAATATCCCTGGGAAAAAAATTAAAATTGTAAACAGATTTAAAACAGAAGATGACATCAGAAAGGCTGAGACATCATTAATGGCTCTTCCTGAAAAAACAAAAAATCTATCCAAAATGGAAATTGTTGTTTGAAAATATAGAAAACTGTTTTGAATTATGAGAAATTTGCATAATGTTTCACCTGTATTCGCCCGCACCAAACCAGTTCAAAGTGAACCCATAAATACAACTGCCCACATCCTCCAAAGCCATTTGGAATTATGTTTGGGGTTATCTGAAATATGAAGGAAGATGAATTATTTGGAATTTTATTTCCAAGAATCACTTCTAATATAAGATGCTTTTTGTCCAAAATGATGAAGAGTGACATGGAAATAAGTAAACTTTCTGCTGATGAAGAAAAAACCCGACGAATAACCTTGTGCTGTCCATTAAAAATACAAACCAAAGATTTAATTAAAACTAGTTGATTACTAACAAAGAAAAATATATACAAATAAACTTGATGCCTATCAGTTGCTAGTATTGATGATTTAGTTACAAGATTCTGCATAAATATTTCTCAACATTCAACCAAAAGTTATTAGAAAGTTAAAAGAAGAAAATGAACAAACAGTTTTTGAACTGTAAATATTTTTTTTTCTGATTTAAAATTTCATTCAGGACTTATTTCCAACAATCCATTTTACTTTAAAAATTTGTCTGAAGATGTTTCAACTGGAGGTTTACAGAAAAGGAAGCATGATAAAAAGCATATGATTTTTTTTTTTCTTCTTCAATAACAGATTTTACCTTAGGAAATTATCTCAGCTATTAATGTCAAAACATTTTGTTACAAGTAAGCTTTACTCCCCTCCTCTCTCTCTATCAATTTCAATTATTTTCAAGACAATGCTTTGAGAAAATAAAACATATTTTTAAAGTTTTTTTTTTTGCAGGAATTGTCTTTAATAGTCATGTGTTTTCAGTCCATTTGAAATCAGTGATAAATTTTGAAAATTTATAACATCCTGTTAGTGTCAATGAGAAAATCTGTTCATTAAATAATTAGTAAATATTTTAAACAATCAAGTGATATGATTTTATAGCCAATGATAAGATACAATAGAAGTTTGGATCATCAGTGTCATTCCCTTGCTTAAAAGAAGAGAAATAATTGTTCTTCCCACCCAAAGCTCAAGTCTTTGTTGATTAATAGTGTACAGAAAAGAAAGTCTTTTTATAAGAATATTTTGCTGAAGCCTTTAATTTGTGCTTTATGTCAATATAAATACTTTTATCCTGAAGAAATTCATTCCATTAACTCTATTTGTTTCAATCTTGTTATTGTTATCTATATCTTTATGATCTGATTTATGTTTGTAATTTTGTTTGTTACTGTAAAAGAACAAAAACAGCACATCATAGCAAGATTTTTGTTAGAACAATTCCATTAAAATGGTTCTAATACAAAAAATAAAGCAACTTGCAGTCTAATTTAGAACTTAAAAATAATAGTATTTGATCTGCATTTATATTCACATTGATAATGATTTAATTTTTTTATTGGTGTTTAAAAGCTGAAATGAAAATAGCATCTACTTTAAAAAATGAATGGAAATGAAAAGATAACTAATTGAAATAAATACCTTTATTTCCCCACCTCCACAAAAAAAAAAAAAATGCTGATTACATATTTTTATGTTGAAATAAAATTTATTAACAAAATAACTCATTTCATTAGTCTAACTATTCATGCAAAATTATTATCAATTTTCATATCTTTTTTCATATCTTTTCCATTCCATCATGAATATTTTAAAACTGTTACAAAAAGAAAATAAATTGTAAGCATGTTTTCTTAATGAAGAATTATCTTATTTACACTATTTATATTAGGACTATTGTTCTCATCAACAAAAATGATGACAATAGTCAATATATAATAGTAATGTAAATATGAATGTTAAAATCATATAATTGTTTTTTTGCTGATTGGAGATTAGTATATATAAATTAAAAGTTAACTTTGACATTTTAAACGTATTTTGAAAATTATTTTATTTGTCAAATGTAAACAAATTCTATAAATAGAAATTTGAATCAAATAATGCTAGAAAAAATATATAAAAATGTTAACTTTTTGACTTGGGATTTGAAATATTACTTGGAGGTTCAAGAGTGAATCATTAATTTTCCTTTCAAACTTCAAATAGTTCTTGGCATTACTACTTACCTTCTTGATTGCCAGAATTCGGTAAATATAGACCATGGAATGTTTCTCTTGAACACATTGGATTTGAAATTTTCCATGATTTTCTATTTCATTCAGTTTTGGCCAGTAGACACAGCATTTCAACTGAAAACAATAACAAGAGGAAAAATTTTTTTTCAGTAGTGGCATTTATTGAAATGAAAAATGTAATTTTATATAAACATTTAGAGAAAAATTTGATTTTCGTTATATAATCAAATGAAAAATATTTATTCACAACTTTTACAAAAACGGGAATGACTTAATTTAAAAAATTATATGTAAAATGGTTGGAAAGAAAGACCTGTCACTTGTTTTGCCAAAATAAGTTTAAGCCATTGTTTGTTCATATAAGACAAAGTTAGGCATATAACATTGTGTTCTGAACTTTCTTTTTCCTTCCAAAAATATTTGATGTCAACCATGAATAAATTTTTTTTGATGAGATACATTCAAGTCATTGCATGCATTGAAAGATCCAAAAGGTTAATCAAAAGACAATGAGGAAAAATTTGAATTATCAATGGAAATAAAATCTTATATGTCAGGAAATATAACAATTAATTGAAAGACAGACATTTGTTGATGTATTAAATAAACATTTCTTTCTGAAAAGTAATTGGTTATAAATTCTTATAATGTTCTTGAATTTTTCATTAATTAATGATCAGTTTTTAAATGTACTCATGTGTTTTATATATTAATATTTGAAAAAATACATTGTACTTATTTAAATGAATAATCAACTAAAAAATGTTTCCATAATTCAGTTAAATTTGGCAGCTCATTTTTCATAATCATTTTCCAAAATTCAGACATTATATATTGTTACCATGTAGTTCAGGTAAAAAAAAAACATTTTTAGAAAAAACTCAGAAATGCAAAATGATCAATAAAAAATCAAATATATTTAAAAGTTGCTGTAAAAGTTCAAAATGTTAAAAAAAAAAAACACCTACAAATTTATACATAATCAACTCTACAGCAATCAGAGAAATTATTGTTTGACAGACATTTGTTGATGTTTGTAATAACACTCTTTTCTGAAAGTGATATAAATTTCTATAATGTCTGTATAATTTTGGTTGCACATGCAGTGTTTACATATGTACTAGTATATGTTTTGCATATTAGGTGTCAAATACATAACTTATTCAAATGAATAGGTAGATTTTTTTTTTTTACCTTTCCATTTTCCATAATTTCAGTTAACATAACAATTGTGTTGCATTTTTCTTTGAGCCAAATCATCCTCCAAAAATCCTCAATTGTTCCTTCCAAAGGTCCTAAAATTTAAGTTCAGGTACATAGAAAGTGATTAATAGGTCAATGGTAGAATTCTCAAACATATTTTTTTATCATTTTGATAATTTAAAAATAACTCTTCAATAAATTTTATTGGAATTTCATATATGTATCTACCAAAATATAATCATAAAAAAGATGGAAACATTTGAAATTTGGCAGCCTTAAACAAAACAAATTAATGAGAATTAGTGACTTGATCTCTGCCAAGACAGTAAATAATAATTGATTTTTTTTTAAATTTTTTAAAGATCAAAATTGGATGTAAAGCAATTTAAGAGTTAGTTTGTTTTGTCTAGAAGAAACTGTTAAAATTAATATGGTTACAGATTGGTTTGATTTCAAATGATGAAATGGATAAAATCTTGAAATCTAGTAGTACAATTTTTTTTTCATAAAGTCTGGACATCATAAAAGAGTTCATCCAAATATCAAGATAAAAATTTGTAGAAAATGAAATAAAACTGGGACAATATTTGGAAAGTCACTGAAGCTGAGATGTCAAAATAGTCCAAAATATGAATGTAAAATGAAATCTTCTTTAGATTTTTAAATAAACACTGGAAAAGAGATGCTAAAAATAATAGAATATATTAAATATTCTATTAAAAACGAATGGTAAACTTATAAATATGCAACATAGATTCTGGAGAAAAAATTTTCAAGCACAATATTTTCATGAGCTTGCTTTTTTATATCAAATATCTAAATGTCAATATATTTAATCTTTTTCACTTCAATGATTAGCTGAGAATGTTCATGTTAAAATTTTCATAATAGTCAAAATCTCATGTGATGTTTCATTTTGTAATTAATTCCTAACAAATTGCTATCTTAGTAGTCACAAAAAAATAAATTGAAACTAATAGATATACAATAATTATTGAATTAAGGAAGAATGAAAACATCAAAATAAATAAAGATATTCAAAAGTAAGGATTTCCAAAAAGCATGAAAGTAATTTTAAAAGTAAGCTTGTTAAATATTGAACTCAAAATTTTTACTTGCTAGTGTTTGTCTAAACAATTCTTCAAATGAAACTGACAGTAATTACCTTTGTTCTCCAACAGAAAGATAAAAACAATTTCAGAAACAAATAAAAAAAATTGTTTGAAATTCTTTAGAAGTTGTTGGAAGGCAGGATAATTGATAAGCCATGAGGTAGTGATCAAAACAATGAAAGATGAGATGCTAGTTTTATATTTCATTATCATAGTTTGAAAAAGGATTTCCCAATAGCAAATTCAATGTATTTTTTTTTTTTAAGTTTTCAACATTTAAGGTTTATTAAAACTCAACACCTAATTAACACATAATATTTTTATAGGTCATGTGGGTTTAGCATCATGCATTTTTCGGTCACATTAGGTCACATTATCAAACTTAAATCATAGGTTCAAATTTTTTGATCATAGATTTTTTTCTGCTCACATAAATTGTTAAACCGTCAAATATGTTGTAAATACACATTATTCAGAACATTTTTTTCATATAAACCCTTTTAGAGAAATTTTTAAATAAAAAAAAATTTGTTGAATATCTAAAATAAAAATAAATTAATTAGAACCATGAATCAAAGCATTTTTAATTGACGAAAAATATAGAAAAAAAAATTATTTTATTTTAAACCGGAACAAAAAAAAATAGATTTGTAAAGTTTTAAACAAATTGAATTTGACAGGGGTGTGAACCTTTAAATAAGTGATATTGAAAAATGCCAATAGTAAATCACAAAAATCACTCATTTTATTTTAAATGGTTGATAACCTTTTGTTAATTTCAGATGATATTTAAAAAAAAAAATAAAATATTGGAATATTTGTAAACAAAATCAGCACTGGAAAAATGTTATTGAAAACTATGTATATGCTTTTTTAGGATATTTTTTTTGTCTACAAAGAATATTAAAATAAACCTAATTGTATCTAAAAATATTCTGTCTTTAAATTGAAAAAATAGTTATATTCATTTTATTCATGATTAATTTTTTAATGAAACAAATTGAGCCAAATTTGAATTTTATGGTATCTCTTCAAACTTTTGATCCATGCAAATATTCTCAAGATCATTTTCAAAAGTTCTTCTGAATGTTTTCATTTTGAAAAAAGAACATTGCTTGTTTTTATTTTTTAGCATGACAAAAAAATAGATCTGTTCAATAAATCAAAATAATTTTAAAAAAATAATTAATTTTCTTTTAAATGTAATGACAAATTGATAAATCAAAAATTATCACAACTTTAAAAAGAATAGTGAATTTGGTTTGTTTTGTGAATCTGAATAAAAATGAAAATTGGTACCTGAATTACAATTCAAAATGGAAAATTCTTTTCAATTGAGAAAAAGATGCAAAAATAAAATTGAAATTAAAAAAATGTCATTTTCTTTTGAAAAAAATAAAACTTAATAAAATCTGAAAGAAAAAAACAAAAAAATTAATGTATGTTTGCTGAATGCAAATTAAGATCAAAATATAATAGAATCTATATTCTAAGTAAAAGAAAATGATTTTTTTTATTTAATACATTTCCAATTTTTGCTAGACATTAAAAAGTTTCAATTTCATTTCTTTATTAATATGAAAACAATCTTATTGCAATGATTTCTCATTAATTTTTTAATTTTTTTATAAAGTTTTCTGTTTGAAAGATTAGCTAATTGTGGCACCTTTTATCAATGGAAATATTCTCTGAATTTATATGAAATGACAAGAGAATATTCAATTATCTTTTTCTTCAATGGCAAAATTTTGAAAATCTATGTTTAAACTCTAAGAACAAAATTGTTTACAAATAGAAAATGATAATAGAAGAATATGATTGAATTTTAAAATAAATTATCATGAGAATAACCTAGTGATTTAGCAACAAAGAGAAAAAGGATGCTAAAAATTTAGAAAATATTTTTAGGTGAATTAAAAACAAAATCAAAACTTTTAAAGATCATATAGAATGGAATGAAATACACAATGTTTCATGAAACTATGTTTCAAAAACATTTCTTGCTTTAATATCAAATATTTGTCAATATATTTTAATAGCAAAAAAGTGGGATTAGATCTGATCATGTCAAAATTTTCATAATATGAAAATCCTGATTAATTTTCATTTCGTTCATTAATTGCCTAAACAAGTCTCTATTATGTATTCATCACAAATAAAAAATAAATTGAAATATTAGATATACACTTCAATTATTGCAATTATATTTCTGAAATGAAAAATCAAAATATATATTAAAATTCATGAATAAGGTTATTATCTTTATCAATTAAAATATAAGTTTTGTCACAAAGAGTAAAACCACAATAATGGCAATTTTCACTGAACATGACAATGAAATTTTAAATATCATATTCATATAAGTAAATTCAGTCATTTTAAAAATGGATGTAATTTTAAAATTAAGCATATTTAAATAAATTTTTTTTTATTTAAATAAATAATATTTTCTATTATTCAGTGGTGCATATATAGATGATAAAAATGTCCCTACCTTGTGTTGCAATGTAATTGTCTCCAACCTGAAACAAAAAAATAAATTGGCAACAATTAAATCCTGAAAAAATACTTCTGAATTAGTACAAAATATAGAAGTAAATTTTAATATCTAGTTTCCTATAATTGATTGGATATTCAAGGTTGTTTAATGTCTCTCACCATCTGAAAAATGACCTTGAACACCAAATTATCTGGAAAGATTCAAGGGCAAACAGTATGTGAGAATATTCCTCACTGAATTTATGGTTCACTCAAAACTCAACATAAGTGATAGGAAAAATAGCTTCCCAAACAAAACAACATGGGGAGTAATTTTAGATCTATGGTTTTCACATCCCTGAAATAGAAAAGTACAGTGAATAAATTATTTCATGATAATCATTGTCAGCACTGTTTTTTCCTTCCAAAAAGCTTGCAGGGGCGGCATCCTTATTGGCCCTGCAAATGTCCTTGTGATAATTTCATTTAAACACAACAGTTGCAATTTAAAACAAACTGTTCAAAAATGTAAACAACAATTGAAATTTCCAAAATTCTATCTTCTGTGTTTATATATTTTAGAAGATAATATAAAAAAAAAACTGGAAATTTAAGAACATGTAAGTCAATGTCAGAAAAAAAAATGATATTAGAAATGCTGTGTTCCAACATTTGTAAAACAATGTTCTTTTCAATTTTATTAGAAAATCATTAATGAATGCAGCCATAAGTGCTGATTCAAAAGACTTTTAAAAGTACAAATGCTAAAAAGTGCTTAAATCTAAATATTGTTCAAAATTAATTATTCCAAACAATGAATTAATAATTATTTAATTTTCATTGTGTTTATCATTTGATTTTATTTACAAAATCAACAAACATTTTGTAACAAATTTCACAACATTACAAGACAGTGGTATATTATATAAATATTAATATTTTATAAAAAGTACAACATTTACTCTTTAGTACAGGCCTACACAATTAAAAAAAATGTGAAAGACCACATAACTTGCAGAAAAGAGTAAAATTTTAGAATTATGGATTAAAAAAATAGTGCAAATGCATTGAAACATCCCAAAGGTTCAATGTCTTAATCAAATAACAAAAGATTGTGCATTGTCCTTGGTAATAGTTAAGCATGAAAGAACTATTTTTAAATTAACAGTATGGGTTTAGAAGAAAGTTTTAAAATTAGATTTTGATACTTTAACCCACATGCCCTTATTTTTAACCATGGGTTATGTGATTTTTTTTATTTTTTAATATTTCAACATTTAAGTTTGACAATTTTTTTGACAGGCCATGTGATAACCAAGTCATGTATTTTTTAAAGGTCACATTATCAAGTTTAGATCATAGATTAATTCACTTCATCACATAACCTATCACAGGATCAGATTAATTTTAATATTTTTTAAGTTTAGAATTCTAACATATATTAAAAAAAAAAAAAATTTGAATATCTAAAATAACAAAAACTTATCAGATAACCATTGGTCAAAGCTTTTTTCAAGTCCATTTCTTTCTTACAATTTCTATAAATTATTTTGAACTTCTTTTTATTATAACAAACATTTGCTGAATGAATCAACTTTGTTTGTTAAAAGTGATTTGCAATATTAGATACTATAAAACTACTAATGTCTGACATCTTTGCACAAAAATGATACCATAATCCAAGAACTTTTTTTAAATTGGAATTATTGGTAATGTTGTGTATTTTTTGTATTGTTAAAAATTCTTACATCTCACATTTAACTCCTATGCAGAATTACACACAAGCAAAAATAAGGTAAAAATCTTTAAAAATCAATTAATGAATCTGGTCTTTACAGAAATCTTATATGTCCTGTGATCATTTTTTCAAGAATGACAAATTTCTGGCCTCATAAGTTATCAAAATATCAGTCAATCTACTGGATGATTGAAAAGTGCATATTTTATTTATGATGGACTCTCCTATCTAACTATAATTTTTACAACATTGATGAGTCCATCATACATAAAAGAGGGAGTTATTTTTTGTGCACCCTGTAGATCAATAATATTTATTTAAATATATCAAATTGAATGATGTCTACAAAAAGATATCTGTAAAACTGTATAAACTGATATTTGGTGTCATTGAAAAATGGATGCATGTGTGTAAGATTGGTTATCAGCACAAAATTTAGATTGGTGTTTGAATCAAATTCCAGCTGAGGATCAATCATTCATTTACAAAATATATTTTTCCAAGTAAAGACATGATCACCTCTTTCTTAATCAACGGTTAAAAGCTGGTAGACTGGGCTCCATTCTTGGTTGGCAATCAGTCTCGGAATACTCATTTTCCCAAACTGGTTGGATGTGAGGGTAGCAATTTTACTCAGAAAAAACCTAACTGATATAGAAACCACAAATAGCAATGTCTAGCTGGGTGAGGCTTTAACTCTATACTCCACAGAGGAGTTGACATAAAGTAGAATACTACATGTATATTTCACTGATATTGTTACAAATAATAATCTGTAACCACCTTTATGAGACTTTTTACAGATGAACATCTGAAAGTCAAGTTAGCACCATCAAATAAGATGACTGCATTAAATATAATGATTCATTTAACCATGAAAGAAGTTGTTTTATATTCTATAAGTAGTTACACTAAAATTATAGGAATTTGACTATTAAAAAATATTTTAACTCCTGTCATCTATCATCTCCTTTGAAGTAATCTCTTGGGTACGCATTTAAAGATCTAAAGAATTCCACTCATTTACCATTAATGGTAAAAATCTGTATCCTATTCAATTCATGCACACTGTTAAAATTCTTTGAACCTTAATGTCAAAAATTTTTCAAATTTATTAAAGGATATTTGAAAGAAAGTTATGAATCTTCTTTGAAATTCTATAATAGTCAATTAAAATTTATTATAGAATTGGTATTTGACCAGATAATTTGAAAAAAATCATAACAGTTAACAAGTCTTGGAAATTACAGATGTTAAGGAATTGTATCATCCTATTTAAAAAGCAATATCACAGTTTGTAAACTTTTTTAATAAAGATTATTAATAAAGAAAGTAATGATTAATCTTTGATACTGCATTTTTAAAAATCTATTTATCAAATGCTATTCTTCTAATGTCATTGGGCTTTTCTTTTATTCTTTCAGTAAATGAGGAGCCATGTTTTCTCATTTAGTTGATATGACTCTCTATTAATAGATTTTTATTACATTTATATTCAACTGAATAAACCTCACAAAATTTATATTTTTTCTGAAATTCTTTAATCCTGTTGCCTTCTTGTTTGTAATTATTGCCAAAATATTTTATTCTTTCTGAAAAATATGCAAATGTATTTCCTGCTGAGAACCTTAAAATATGCACATCAACTCCCACACATTTTCAATTATTTGTGATTAAAAAAATAAATGGATTTTATGCCTTGTAACACTTATACATCAAATGGACACAAAGTCAACTTCAATTTTTAAATAATAGATTAAGTTTTTTTATCCTTTCAACTGAAGATTTTATTGAAATATTAGGAAAGCCTTCTTGATAGTGTAAAAATAAAATGAAATTTAAAGGAGAAATAACTTACATTGATGTAACTGGCATTAATATAATCTGCACTTGATGTTCCATCACTGTGCAAAACAACACGGGAATGATCATCTAAAAATAAGAACATCCATTGATTAGCATCTTAATAGATAAAATATTCCCAATGATTTTTTCATCATCATAGTCTTGGTTTGTCATAATGTTGTAAAATTCAAGAAAGATAATCTAAAACTTTGTGACTGATATTTTCAAAGACTTTATGATACTTACAGGGCAATATGGCTTTACAACGATTCTTACAAATGTTTTCAACTGATTTGCCTGTTTTACATGGATACTTAACATGCTTGTCAAGGCACTGTAAAAAATAACAACAAATATCATTAATAATTACCTTTTATTCATTATTATTATTATTATTTATTAAAATCTTAGATTTAGTTGATAAATTAATTATTACTTGTTACAAAAATAATCATCTTTTATTTCTTTTTTACACATGAAACTAATCCATATTTGTATAACATTAAGATAAAAATATTAGACATTCATCAAAAGTTGGAATGAATCAGGAAGAAAATAAGAAAATACAGACAAAAATGAAAGAACAAAGGCATGACATAGTGAATAATTTGAGTTGTTAACACTCAAGAAATTTTTACAGGTCAAACTAATAAATATGATAGAAATTACTTAGATATTAAATAGATTTGCATTTATTGTTAGATTTAATAAACCTTTTGAAGGTGAAATGGTTTATTCTGATGTGTAAACAGATGTACCAAATAGAAGTAACATCAGAAATGAAATACTCAACTAAATATGCATGATAACTAGTATACATGTGCATTTCATAAAATATATATATATTCAAAAAAATATATATAAATAAATATATTGTTCAAAAATTCATATAATATATATATATATATATATATATATATATATATATATATATATATATATATATATTTGATGTAAATAAAACAATAAATTAAAAATAACAGAGCTATTAAGTATATATTAATAAATAACACCCCATGCTGACTGTATGACTTATAGTTTCATGCACTATGCAATCATCATCAAAAGAACTGCATTATCTGGTTAAAATTTCTGGGTTTTTAATTGTTAGTTGGATAAATTAATTATAATTGTGTCTTATAATTATAAGCATAATTATACATTTACTCTGTTTGGAGGAGAAATAATTATCTTCCCAGATTAACACAAATTACTAAATAAATGATCAAAATTTATCTCAAAATGCAGATACAAAAACAAGTTTTTACTACATCACTTAAAAATCAAAAACTGAAAACATACTTTGTAAAATACAACCATAAAAAAGCAAATATATGTACAACGCAGATATTTCAAAATACTTTAGACAAATCCAATACATATAAGATAACCAACACCCCAAAAATTAATAAAATAAACAAAAAAAAGTGATGTGTGGCCAAAGTTGGGACCACAGAAGTAAAACACGGAACATGAATTAGATGTAAAAAGATATATTAACAACAGGTAACAGATATAGTGTAAAACTGGAGCTTACTATATGTTAAATACTGGTAGTCGTAAATGCTCTCACTGTCTCTCTGACTCACTGTCACTCTCTAAGTGCTATGTCGCCTACTTAATATAGGCCTGGAAACTATTGTGTAGGTAGTTTCCGGTCTCACAATAAAAAGTCTAAATAAATAATTAAATGAATTAACAAATTAACAAACTACTACCTACATAAACACAAGTAAATGTAATAATAATTATCAATAATGAATAATGAAGTAATCATTAATAAATAATGAGTAAAACGTTAACAAACAACACTATAAAATAGATATAAATAACCACATTCAAATCCACAATTATTTCAATGCAATAACCTCTAGAATAATTTGAAACATAACTGTTACCACCCACCCAACAACCATTAGGATAATATATTAGACCTTACTACTCATAATGCACCATTGACCAGCATATATGAAAGAAACTGTCACCATTTGTTGACCTTACTGTTCACTTTTATATTTACATACACTCTCTCCCTGATATTTAGCACTTTCATTCATAAATATCTTTTTAATGTTGTGTGTCTCTTCAAGATGTAGGCAATCATAGCTCTCCACTCCCCCTATCCCTTGTAGCTCTCAGTAAGTTTTGTCCATTTGCTACTTCCCCCAGGCCATGTTCTTTCATACACTTGCTTAAGCCCACTAGGTATATCATACATTGCTTCAGAATACCATAAAACTAATTTTATAATATATAGGGTGTGATGGATAAATTGTTGTTTAATTTATGCAAAAATGAAAATAATACAAAAATATCTTGCAATACTAAAGAGAAAATTTATTCAATAAAATTACCATTGGCTTCAGCCACAGCCTCCAGACAACTTCAGAATCTCCTGCAACTCTTCTGAATGGTCTCCTTGTTTAAATTGGTGAATACTGCCATAATCCTTACCTTCAGTTCATCTTTGGTATTACAAAGAGTTTTGTTGGTCTCTTGCTCAACTGAATCCCATACATAATAATCAAAAGGGTTGCAGTCTGAGGAGTTAAGTGGACAGATGTAAGGGGTAATGCAGACGCAGAAATTGTCGGATAGACAGGATTGGGTTCTTCAGCTTGTGTAGCCTGGTACAGAGTCCTGTTGTCAAATATAGGATTTTCCATCAGCCACCCTCTTAACACAGGGCAGCACTAACTCCTCAAGGTACTCAATGTTGAGTCTGTGGACCTCACCAACAAATTCAGGAGTTCTTTTCTCATCAAAATGATCAGAGTGAGTTTTCTGAGCTGCTGTACCTTCATAATCACCATTAGACTCATCTAACTCTTCCCAAATCCTGTACACTGTCCTCAGATTGACACCCAAACAGTCTGAAATGTTCGTATTGGAGCTTTCAGGACAAATGCCAAGCAATACAGCATGCCATTTTCAAATTTCTGGTGGAATAAATTGCATCTTTTTTTAATAGACAGTGCCTAACTGACCCTACTATGAGCAGTCAATAAAAACAAACAATGCTTGGTTCAAATTAAAAGTAAAAAAAGTGGCAACAATTTACCCATTGCACCCTCCATATATATATATATATATATATATATATATATATATATCATTAAGATAATTAAATACTGAAAACTCATCTGAAAATAGGTCTGCTTTCATTTTCATTTGCTGATCCGGTCTTTTATATGAAATTGTGAAATAAAGGGTATCCAGAATGGCCACTCATCTAGATTCTTTTGTACTAATATGGATGCCCCCCAGGGCTCAATTCTTGGTCCTACTGTTTGTAATTTTCATTAATGATCTTCTTGATGACATCAGCTCACAACTTGGTATCTACACTGATGACACAACCATTTACTTCTGCCTCGATAGTAAGGCTGATCAGACCTATAAGTTCAAAATGGCAGCCAATGTGCAAAATAATATTAACTGGGGCAAAAGATGGCTTGTTAATTTTGACCACTCCAAAACTAAACTTCTCTTCATTAATCATCTGAGAGATGCATTTCTGCTATTCATCAGCATGGCTGATGCTAACCTTCAAGAAAATGACTTGTTGCACCTTCTTGGGCTCACATTCTCAGCTGATATAAAGTGGAAAGATTATATTGAATCCATTGCTATCTCAGTTGCTAAGAAAGTTGGTTTACTGTGTTGGGCAAGATAGTTTTTCTCTCCAGAATCTATCTTATATATATATATATATATATATATATATATATATATATCATATTTAGAATATTGCATGTTTAGATATTGCTGTCATATAATGCCCCTACTATTTATCTTAAACAGATTAATAAATTCCAAAGAAAAATCAGCAATATTATTGGTTGTGATCTGGCACCTCAACTTTAATCACTTTCCCATTACCATAAGTTTGCCTCTCTATATCTTTTCTATAAATACTTTCATGGTAATTATTCAGATGAGCTCTTCACTATGGTACCTAGACTTTCGGAATTTAAGTGCAGCACTAGATTGGTATCAGAATCTCATCAGTTTACAGTTGAGTTGGTTAGATGTAGCCATAAGTTCTATTCTAGCAGTTTCTTTCCTCACTTGAGTCCAGCTCCATGTTTTTCAGCCAACTTTAATCTTCAAAAATTTAAATGCAATATCAATTGCTATCTATTGTCCTCTTGATTACTCTTTTCTCTTCCCATTCTTTTCCTAATTCTTTCACACCCTTTAACCCCTTGTGTCTTTACTCCTTTGCATCGATTAATACCAATTTTTTTAAAAAAATATCTAACTTAAATTATGCATATTACCCAGATATATTTGTATTTATTTTTAGATTTAATAAACCTTTTCAAAGTGGTTTATTCTGATATAGAAATAAATGTGCCAACTACAAGTAACATCACATTTGAAATAATCAACTAACTATACATGATAATTGATATACATTTATATATATGTATATCATTAAAATAATTACATACTGAAAACTCATTTGAAAATGGGTCTGCTTTCATTTTCACTTGCTGAACATAAGATAAGAAATTTTCTTTTGTCAATACAACATTATCATCGTAAACATCTTCAGCCAGAATGTCTCCATCTGTGAGGATTTCTTGATTGCTTTCTTGTAAAATGCCTGTAAATAGAAAAGTGTATTTTTTTTAATGGAATTCATTCTGTAAGGAAATTGAAGAATATTTTAAAATCTTTAGGCAATCTAAATTAGAAGAAACAGAAAAGAAAATTTACAGTCTTTTTCCAGGGCCATTTACCCAGACTGTTGACAACAGGTTCATTTTTGTCTAATCATTTTTTAAATCTACAAACTAACTTAGCTTGTTATGTAGACAGTTTTAAAAGAAAAGGTAGATAAATAATTATGAAAACCCTTCATATGATCTGATGAAAGATTTTGATAATATTTCATTGTTTATTCACATCATCAGCAGCATATAATTTAAAGTAAATTTTGATGCATGAAAAGAATTTTAAAAAAAGGCAAACATGTCTCAAATGAAAGAAAGAATGATAATCATTATAAATCTATTTTACAACTCCCTGTGTTATTTTCTGTTACATACCATTAAATGAATGCTCCCTTGTTGCATTATCATTTAATACATGATCCCTATTTAACATTAAGGAATGTGATTCTTGTTCCTTTTCGTATCCCAGTGATCCATCTTCCTCTCCTTTACCCAGATAAAACTGGTCACAAGCAAGTATCTCCCTTGTGTCTGTTGTGTTCTTTCAATGTGTTGCGTAGGAAACCTACCACCCCTCTTGGAGATGAACTTGTCTACAAACAAAGACGTTGAATCTTGTCAAAGACAGAGTGAACTTGGCTGACAAACAAAACGTTGAATTGTTAGCAGTCAAAGACAGAAGGGAACGGAAAAGTTCTAGGTCAATCCCTGATGTCTGTACTTCAAATATACCGTCTAATCGGCTTCAAAAGGTCAGTTCGTCCTTGGGTGGGATTTTTAAAAGGCCGAAAACTTTAGGAAAAACCCCAAATTCGTTTCAAATGATAACAGTAGCGATTCTTACCAGATTCGTTTGGCGTTTGTCTCTTCTAACCCTGTAAATCATCACGCTGAGGAATCACGTTGGAGAATTTTTCAACTCTAGGTGGACTATATAATTTTTTTCACGCACTGAAAGAAAAAAAAAACAATACGTCGAACTTTGTTCTTCACGAAGAAATAGGATTTCAACGTGCCAAAAAGAAGTAAGACTTGTGCTTATTGTGGATATATACATGTTTTCCCTTTTTGACAGTTTTCGAAAAGTGTTTTGTGTAATCTATTACGCATAATGGAAGATTTGATTGCATTAACAAAGTCAAATTCTAACTGCAACAAAATTCAACAACTATTGGATTTTTTCGAAAAAGTGTTCAATCAAAAGAGCAACAAAAATTGTTTCGGGAACAACTATTGGATTTACAAGTTCAGCAGCGAAATGACACAAAGGCTTTATATGAAGTAATTTTACTTAAGAATCCAGTAAATTCGTCATTCACGGCCGAAGGTATTGCTAATTCTATTACTGAGTTCAAATTTAACCCAGAGGAGGGAATAACATTTCCTGCGTATTTCAGAAGATTTGAAACAATATTTGAAAAAAAAAAAAATGTGAAGGTTGGACTGATGAACAAAAAGTGAGTTTACTTTTACAAAAGTTAGGTACAGATGAAAATAATAAGTATACAAATTTTGTCCTTCCAAGAAAAACTGCTGACATTTCTTTCGAAGAAACTGTTAATACTTTATCTAGTATTTTTGGCGAGCGAGTTAGTTTGTTTCATACTCGTTTCTCGTGTTTGAATATGGTAAAGCGTGACGATGAGGATGTTGTTACGTATGCTGGAAATGTTAACAGAATGTGTGAACGTTTTATGTTACATGATCTTTCAATTGATCGATTTAAATGTTTGATATTCGTTCAAGGATTGACTTCTAGCAAAGATAAGGACATAAGGTCCCGAATATTGGCAAAACTCGAACAAAATTCCGAGATTACTTTGCAGAAGGTTACAGAAGAATGTCAAAGAACTGAAAACTTAAAACATGACAATACCCAAATTGAAGAAAAAGACTTATCCCGTGTCCATGCTATTCGACCAAAAAAGGGAATAGTTAATAAAAACGTTAAAAAACCAACGTGCTTTGGATGCGGTGGTGGTCATTTTAAAAGTGAATGTTTTTTTCGCGACAAAAATTGCTATTCGTGTGGCAATAAAGGCCATATAAGTACTCATTGTAAAAGCAAAAGAAAAAATTTAAGTCGAAAAAAGATGTGAATATTGTATTGTCACGAGATTGAGGAGGGGCAGAAAAGAAAATTCGTACAGGTAAAAATTAATGGAAAAAATGTTAAACTACAGCTAGATACTGGAAGTGATATTTCCATTATTAATACAGTAACATGAATTAAAATAGGCAGACCTTTGCTTAAAAAGACTGAAAAAAGTGGCTCAACTGGAAGAAAATTGCATTTTCAAGGTGAATTTTCTTGTAATATTTCATTTGTTGGTAAGACACTAAAGTCTAAAGTGTATGTGCTACAAAATGCTTCAAATTTGTTTGGAACAGATTAGATTATACTGTTTAATTTATGGGAACTCCTATAAATTCTTTTTTGCAATAGAATTAATGTTTCTTCTCAATGTAAAAATCGGGTTACAGAAAATTTGTTGAAAGATCTGAAAATAAAATTTCCACAAGTATTTTCAGAAGGTCTTGGATGTTGCAAAAAGGCGAAGGCAAAATTTGAAGTGAAGGAAAATGTAAAACCTATTTTCAAGCGAAAAGAAATGTGCCATTTGGTGTTTTGGAATAGATTGACAAAGAATTGGAACGGTTTGAAAATTTAGGAGTTATTTCACGCATTGAATTTTCAGAGTGGGCCTGCCCTGTTGTATATGTTAAGAAAAAGAATAATAAAATTCGGATGTGTGCCGATTTCTCTACGGGTCTAAATGATTGCTTAAAAGACCACACATATCCTTTGCCTTCACCAGAAGACATTTTTGCAAGTTTAAGTGGAGGAAAAATATTCTCTAAATTGGATTTATCGGATGCCTATCTCCAAGTGAAAGTGGACGAAGAATGTTCTAAATTGTTGACTATAAATACACACAAGGGTTTATACAAATTTAACCGTATGCCTTTTGGTTTAAAAGTATCCCCTAGTATTTTTCAGCAAATTATGGACACTGTGCTGGCAGGGTTGAACTTCGCCATTGCATATCATGATGATGTTTTGATAAAAAGTAAAGATCGAAATGAACATTTGGAACATATTAATGAGGTTTTTGAAAAAATTGAAGAATATGGATTCAAACTTGCAGCTGAAAAATGTGAATTTTTTATGAGTGAAATTAAGTTTTGGGGGCAGATAATAGACTCTGATGGAAGAAGACCAGATCCGGCAAGGGCAGAAGCGATCAAAAGCATGCCATCTCCCAAAAATGTAGTAAGGCTACAAGCGTTCTTAGGACTTGATAACTATTATGGGATATATATTCCTAATTTGTGCAGCCTTACGGCTCCATTAAATAAATTGCTTAAAAAGGGAGCAAAGTGGGAATGGTCAGAAGTGTGTCAGAAGGCGTTTGACAAAATAAAGAATATTTTGACGTCGGAATTATGACCCTAAACAGGAAATTATAGTGGCATCGGACGCAAGCGAGTACGGAATAGGTGCGGTAATTTTGCATAAATTCAGAGACGGCAATACGAAGCCAGTGGCACATGCATCAAGGACATTATTACCCGCAGAAAAGAAGTACTCTCAAATTGAGAAAGAAAGCTTAGCTATCATCTATGCTTGTAAAAAATTCCATAAGTACATACATGGAAGAAGGTTTATATTACAGACCAACCATCGCCCGCTGCTTTCAATCTATGGTTCGAAGAAGAGTATACCTACTCATACGGCAAACCGTTTGCAACGATGGGGAACCATTTTGTTGAATTATAGTTTCAAAATGGAATTTTTATCGTCTAAAAATTTAAGCCATGCTGATGGTTTATCTAGACTGATCCCAACATCTTCGGAACCGCTAGAAGATACGGTGATAGCGTCGTTACAAGCAGAAAATGAATTGGTTGAAGTAATGTATAACACAGTAAAAGAATTACCGGTGACATTAGATGAAATAAAATTAAAATCAGAAAATGACATTTTAATTAAAAAAATGAAAGAAGTTGTAACTTCAGAAAAGTATAAAACTTCTTCACCAGCATATTCAATATGTGATGAAGTGCTGTTATATGCTGGAAGGGTCGTGATACCGGTTGTACTACAAAAGTGGATTTTGAAGGAATTTCATCAGGGGCATCCTGGTATTGGACGTATGAAAGCCCTGATGAGGAGTTACATTTATTGGCCAAATATGGATGAAGACATTGAACAGGTAGTGAAACTTGTAGAGGGTGTCAGATGGCAGCGAAAGCATCGCCAGTAAAATACACACCATGGCCAAAAACAGATGTTCCATGGACCAGACTCCACATAGATTATGCTGGACCCATGAATGGTAATTTTTACTTGATAGTTGTGGATAGCTATTCCAAGTGGCCTGAGGTTTTTAAGTGCTAAAGACCAACTGCTTCTGTAACAAAAGATTTTCTTACAGAACAGTTTGCACGGTTTGGAGTACCAGAAAAAATTGTCACCGACAATGGAACTCAATTCACAGGAAGTGAATTTAAGGCGTTTTGTAAGACTCTGGGAATTGACCACATCACAACTTCACCGTACCATCCTAGGTCAAATGGACAGGCTGAACGGTTTGTTGATACGTTCAAGAGATCCCTTAAAAAACAAATGGTACTAATACAGATGATGGTAATATACAGCAGTTTTTAAGTATATACAGAATAACACCAAATCCAAACGCAATATCAGGGATGTCTCCAGCTGAACTGATGTTTGCTAGAAAAATTAGATCTGTGTTCAATAGGCTGCTGCCGGAAAGAAAAAAAAAGAGTTACCAGAACAAAACGCATGAAAATATGAAATTTATTTCAGGCCGGGAGATAAAGTTTTTTTTTAAATTACAAAAATGGGAAGGAATTTTTGTCAAGATGGAGTGGTAACTCAAAGAATTGGTAAGATGTTGTACATGATAAGAAGTAAAAAATGGACGCACAAAATAGACATTTGAACCAATTAAGGAAAAGAATCATCGAAGAAATATGTAAAGAAAATGAAAAAAAAGCGTAATGGAGGTATTATATGATTTATTTGATATACCAACTACACCATTGCCTGAAACAGTTGTCCAAAAGAAGGACAAGCAAAAGAAAAAAGAAAAAGGTGGAACGCTTAAGTCCAGATCCCAAAAAGAAAAAGATATTAATTCCTCTGGAATTAATCTCAAAGGGAGGTGTTTTGTGGAAAATGCTCGACCACCCCTCTTGAAACATGAACTTGTCTACAAACAAAGACGTTAAATAGTGGCATGTCAAAAGACAGAGTCGGAGAAGTTCTTGGCTGAGCTTGCTAGTTATAGACGATTTCTGTTCCTCCACTTGACCAACCTAATAAACCCCTTTTTATTGTTACGTGTTATTTGGCATTTGTCTTTACTAACCCCAAATCAACATCATAACACAATGATTTAATATAACAGGTTGGCAGCAAGGAATTATGTTACAGCTTATGTCAATAAAAAAGTAAGTTTCAAATATACTGACATTTGAAGTGACAACAACACTGCCATTACAACTATCTGTCTCTATGTGTGTGAAAATGGCAGAAGGATTTCAGTCAAATATATTACAACCAATCAAGCTGGACATAGACAAAACATTTAGAAGCTTGAAAAGTCTGGAAACAAATGTGGACTAACTACAACATTGTAACTAAACTGGCTAACCAAATTAAAGAGTACCAAACTGCACTATTTCTCCATACTATCAACCCAGGCACATGGATGATATGCAACAGATTTACACCAGTGCTCACTTTTTACAACCCAAGGGAAGCCCCTGTAATTTAGTATGATTCGAATGCAGAAGGGCTTGGCACAGCCCTACTACAAGGAAAATCTGTGACATATGCATAGAACAGTGGTATGCATAAATTGAGAAGGAAATGTATTTGTATTCTCACTGGATCCCAAACCATGAGAAGCCATAATGAAGAATCTGCTCTGAAAAGTACCAAATCAACAACAAGAAATGAAAATGCATTCTCAAGAATATGATATCGGCATAGTATATCTCAAGAGAAAGTGTGTGTACGTTGTGGACATCCTATCACAATCATGTCTGACAGATGATATGAACTGCTGACAGATTCTGAACTTATCAATATGGTTAGTATCTGCTTAAATCTGCAAAGCAACATATGAAGAAGTATGTAAACAGCTTAAGAAAACCATATTACTTGCCATATTATCAGATCATATAAAGGGTTTTCCTAATTACTATTTGCTGGCTTATAAAGCAGACCTTCCAGTTACAATATGCTTATATTTTCACTTGCATAATGAGATTTCCACTTCAGATAGTCTCATATTTAAAGGTGACCATGTATTCAGTCCACTCAACTTACAAAGTTATATCAAACATGTATTTCACTAATAGTTATTGGTGAATGCCTACAGTGTACTAGGGAATGTATTTTTTGACTAGGCATGTCATCATACATATGTGAATACATTTCTTACTGTAAGTTCAAAAACAGAACAGCTTAAAAAAAACACTGATATCGCATGATGTGCTTGATTATTCATGACAGAAAATTAGCATTGACCTGTTTGAGTTTGACAGCATTGAATATATCATAAATGTTGATTTGAGATTTTGGAAATAGATTGACTTGAGGACACTACTATTTCAATCGTCATCTGCAAATCAAAGTTAAACTTTGTGAGATATAGGATTCTATGTCAGGTGATTTTCAGTGCTGGACCTCAGTTTATGTCCTTGTCATTTTAGCACTTTTTCAGAGAAATGCGATTTGAACATCTCACGGCAAGCCCTGGAAATCAGCAAGTAAATGGCAAAGCTGAATCCGCAATTAAAAGTGCAAAACATCTCATGTTGAAAAATAAGGATAGCTACATAGCAAAAAGATGAGGCCAAAGTGCAAATTGCAAGTCAGAGATACCAGAATCAAGAAAGTGTGGAGACTTAAACATCTGGGAAATATTTTAACAGAGGATGAAATGTGTGACACTGAAATCTGAAGGAATATTGGGATAACCAAAAATGTATTCCAAAACTGAACAGAGTACTAAGAAATCCTCCTGTATGTCAGTGAGTACTGGACAATCTCCTCAAAGATAAAGAAGAGACTTGAAGCAGCAGAAATGTGGATGTTGAGTATAACATGGACCAAACATGTGAGCAACAATGAAAATTTAGAGAAAATGGAAACAAAAAGAAAAATTATACTTAACATCAGGAAGAGACAGTTGAGATTTCTAGGGCACATAATGAGGAAGGAGGGCTTGGAAAATCTGATTCACATGGGACAGTGTGAAGGCAAGAGGGACAGAGTAAAACAGTGCATGATATACTTAGTGAGCTTGTGTAAATGGATGGTGGAATAGGGTTTAGGAAAAATAACAGAAAAGCAAAATTTATCAAGAACAACAAGACACACAAAGTTGTGGAGAGCCATGATCACCTACATCATGAGGAGACACGGCACATAAAGAAGAAGTCATAGACCAACTTCTGATATTGCTCAACTTTATAAGAAATGCCCCAACTTAAGGAATCTTAAGCAGTCCTTCTTAACATCTACTAAATTACCCCACATACACAACATTATCCCTCACTCCTTCTCTCTTTTTCTCCACCTGAATAAAGCCAGTCAGTTTTCTTTCTTTAATCTTGTTTGTCTTCTTCTTTCAATGACTTCATGTAATACTTTTTGAGATCATCATCTTTGCATTTGTTTCACAGTGATTACTTCCCCTTTTTTAAAATTATTAGTGCACTTGAAAACTTCTCAGACTGAACAAAAAGCTTTTAAACAAGAAAATTCTAATGTTTGGTCAAATTTTTGGAAGTGATTTGGGGTAAGAACTTTTAAGTACCCCTTCATTTTCCCAAATTGATGTTCTCATCTAGATTAGACTCAGCATTTTAAAGTATGTGATTGAAAGAGGGTCTCTCTTGCTAAAAATCAGATTTTAAGTTTTAATAACATTTTAATCACATATGTCAAACAGTGATTGGTCAACTTAATCATCCATTGCATATATTTTCTCAGTTTCTACCAAAACATCAGTTGCCAGAAGATTTTTTTGGAACTACCCTCATCCTCTTTATGTCATTATATACTCACTTGTTTCCATGGGAATATAGTTTCCAGATGGTTCTTTCACATGATTATTTCTTCTCTTTGAATTTCTCCTTCTAAAAAATTCCCCAAAGCATAATATAAAGAAACAACAATATAAATAAACTCAACAACAGTCAGTCACAAACATTAAATTGAGAAGTATACAATAGTTAAATAAATTATTTGATAAAATCTGGCTTTCTTTCTGTATAAAAATATTTACTTGCTCAAATTTCTCAAAAATGAAAATACAGACTACAGCTTTTGCTGATTCCCAAAAACACAAACAGAATAAAGAAGGCATAACTCTAAGTCACTTAAAGATTGATAGAAACTAGGAACTTTGTGTTAAAATATCTAACAAGAAAAATTAATTCTTGCTTAAGAATAATGACCTTTAACATTGCTTAAAATCTACAATATAAAATAAATTTATATTTTATTTGCTGATCCATATTTAAAATATATTTTTAAATTATCAACTAAATATTTATTTATTACTTTCTGATTAGATAATGCCTAAATGTATGAAATATGCCAAAATAAAAATGTAAATTTAAAACATATACTAACCACACACAGATCAGCTGTAAATTAGAAAAATATCTGTTCAATTCAAATGAATCAGTAAGATATGTTATATTTTTTTAAATAGTGTAATTAAAGAAAAATATATAAACCTCACCTGAAGTAAATCACAAGTGCAATGATGATAAAAATTACCAGAAGAGGAACCAATGTAACTGTCAGAATTAATTTTAGGTCAACTGAATCAGAGGAAATACAATAAATTTTATATTTTTGAGACATTTTTTAAACATAAAAGCATTTTCTTCTGCATTATATAAATATATTATTTTAATTTTCTGTTCATAAATCAGGGGAAAAAGAGTTGAGACAGAAAAAAAAGTAATTAAAGCCATTAAAAGAACAATAAATTCTAAATTTCAAACAAGTTTTTAAAATATAAAAACAGTCTTTTGCAATATATGTGTGTGTGTATATGTGTATGTGTGTGTGTGTGTGTGTGTGTGTGTGTGTAAAAATACACCAAAACAAATATGGAAATATATATACATTTTCTGCTTATATGTTATTTTTATAGATACAGTTTATTTAAGTAAATATTCAGTCTTTAATTAGACAGTATTAATTATATTTACCTGCCTGAATGTTGCAGCCGGTCTCCAAACTGTATTGCACTTTTTGTGTTCCAGACTAACTTTATTAGAGATCTAGATTTGCATTCTTTGAACAAGCTTATGGTGTCTTCTGACATTGTCAGTTTATTAATCAATGTCCCTCTTCAGGACACTTTACAGATCTGCACTGAAACTCTTTATAGGGGTCACCTTGGTCCCCCTAGCATTCCTGAAAACTTGTTTCTAGAATTTATGCATTTAGCTATTGAGGGGTGGCATTCTGCTTTAATGATATTATGTATGCCCAAATTGATGGGGTTTCGATGGGCAGCCCCTTGTGTCCTGTTTTAGCTAATATTTTTGTTGATTTCTATGAAAACCTTCAATTTGAAAGATACCTTATATGTATATTTTTTGCGTTATATGGACAATACTTTTTATTTGATTCCATGGAGGAGACTTACCTTGTTGACTTTCCACGTCCAACAATTCCCTCCATCTGTCTTTTGAGTTTACTATGGAGCTGGAGAGTGATTCCTGCTGTGACATTCTCCAGGTAACCATTCTCTCAGAAAATACTATAAATGTTTGTCATTTTCCTGTCCAACCTACGTGGAGGACATATCATCCATGCACTATGGTTCGAAGTTTCTTATCAGATTTAAATTCCGGGACATTTTTTTAATGAATGAATTTCAATTTATGTACATACTATTAAATGTAATATTTTTTATAAAATTATTTTAATGAATGACCCTCATACTGTTCAACCAGCACATTCAAAATGGATATCACTGAATCACTGTCCACCTCCATAGTAAACTGAAATACTATCTATGTTATATTTGTTCATGGATTCATTTTGAAATTTTATATGAACATCATTTTTTATTAAAAAATGAAACTCTTTACCTTGTTGACAGTTCTCTCCCTTGTATCCAACTGCACATTTACCATCCAGACATTTGCCATCAATGTGTCTGCATTGCAAATCATCTGCACAATGACATTTTAACTGACAACCATCACCAAAAGTGCCATCATCACATTCTAAAAAATAAGTAAATGTACTTCATAAAATGCAAATCATGCAAACATTGAGCATGGAAGAATTTACTTTTAAAAAAATGTTGAATTAAAATATTTCTTATAATATTCTTTAATTCAGATATTTTTTTTTAATCAAGATGATTCAAAAACCTGCTTTTACTATTTATATATAATATTTTTTATATGAAAATTATTTTTAATTGAGTTCACCACAAGCAAGTCAGTAAAGCCACTAGGACATGTGGAATCAGAAAAAATCAGAAAACAGAAACATTTCTAAGGAGTGCAAACAATAGAAGAGTAATCAGAGAAACAGTAGTTAGTGATTGACATTGGATTTAAATTTCTAAAGATTAAAGATGACTGGAAAGAATGGAGCCAGAAGAGAGTTCCACAAGTAAGAAGTACGAGAAAAGAAACAGCATAGAACTTATGGTTGCATCTAGTCAACTTGGCTCTAAATTGATGAGAACTCATTGGTAGTCTGGTACTGCACTTAAATTAATAAAGTATAGATACCATAGTGAAGAGCTCATCTAAAGCGTTACCATGAAAGTTGAAATATGATAACAAGTAGAAAATTTATTTGAAAAAAGTGGAGGTGTTTTGGAGGCATGAAAATTAACAAGCCATTCTTTGCCCCAGTTAACAACAAGAAGATCTTTTGAGATCAGCTGCCAATTAGACTTTATGAAACTGATCGGACTTAGTATGGAGACAGGAGTAAATCATTATGTCATCAACATAGATACCAAGTTGAGAGCTGATGGCAAAGTGAAGGTTGTTAATGAAAATTAAAAATACATTAGGATCAAGTATAGGACCCTGGGACACCTGCATTAGTAAAAACAAGATCAAGATGAGAGGGCATTCAGGATAAAATTCATTTCACAATGTGATAAGAAAGAATGGATCTCAAAAATTTGCTCAAAAAGCTCAAAAATTTGTCTGGAGATATCATAACTTATCAACATATGAAGAAGATCTGTAGGAACACACACACACACACACACACATATATATATATTAGGAAATTAATTAAATCTGACAGATTTTTAATTTATTTGTTTTCAATACTCATACTTAAGTAAATGCTCTGTTTTTATTTATCTATTAAACAATATACTTATTTAAATCTTCTGGCCTGAATATTTACAGATTGTAGGATAATGTCCCAATATTTGCATGAAATTGTAATAGAGATTGACATTTGTTTTACTTACGTTCATTGCAACCTTTTCCCATCCATCCATCAGCACAGAGACATGATGATTGCTGTGTGCAGTCTGAATGATTTTTGCAATGACATCCATCACTGCAAGATGTTCCATTACGTCCATATGGACATGCTAAAAAATGTAAAAGAATTTCTGGTGAATAATCAATTGTCATTCTTTTCTGAAAAATGAATGAAAATAGTCAATTATATTTGAATGTGATTGTAAGAATTATTGTCATTTGTTTTACTTACGTTCATTGCAACCTTTTCCCATCCATCCATCAGCACAGGGACATGATGATTGCTGCATGCAGTCTAAAGAATTTTTGCAATGACATCCATCACTGCAAGATGTTCCATTACGTCCATATGGACATGCTAAAAAATGTAAAAGAATTTCTGGTGAATAATCAATTGTCATTCTTCTCTGAAAAATGAATGAAAATAGTCAATTATATTTGAATGTGAATGTAAGAATTATTGTCATTTGTTTTACTTACGTTCATTGCAACCTTTTCCCATCCATCCATCAGCACAGAGACATGATGATTGCTGTGTGCAGTCTGAAAGATTTTTGCAATGACATCCATCACTGCAAGATGTTCCATTACGTCCATATGGACATGCTAAAAAATGTAAAAGAATTTCTGGTGAATAATCAATTGTCATTCTTCTCTGAAAAATGAATGAAAATAGTCAATTATATTTGAATGTGATTGTAAGAATTATTGTCATTTGTTTTATTGTTCATTTGTTTTCAGCACAGAGACATTATTGCGTTCATTGCAACCTTTTCCCCATCCATCCATCAGTCACAGGACATGACAAAATGAAAAAGATTTCTGGTGAATAATCAGTCTTCTTCTCTGAAAAATGATTTTTTTGCAATGACATCCATCATCCATCAGCAAGATGTTCCATTACGTCCATATGGACATGCCATATAAAAATGTAAAAAGAATTTCTGGTGAATAATCAATTGTCATTCTTCTCTGAAAAATGAATGAAAATAGTCAATTATATTTGAATGTGATTGTAAGAATTATTGTCATTTGTTTTACTTACGTTCATTGCAACCTTTTCCCATCCATCCATCAGCACAGAGACATGATGATTGCTGTGTGCAGTCTGAAAGATTTTTTGCAATGACATCCATCACTGCAAGATGTTCCATTACGTCCATATGGACATGCTAA